GTGCCTCAGTTTGTTAAAAACGTTTTTTTTTTTTTTTTTCTCGAAAACCTTGTTCAGAAGGGGAAGCGGTTCAGCAGGGTTTTTAAAGCAGAAAAGCGAACCTTTTATTTGCATTTAAATGCTTTTATAAATGATGAGTTCTTATGCACAAGTATGTTTTTTTTTAGCTGAAAAACTACAACTAAAATTAAAATGAAAACTGAAATTTAAAAGTAAAAGCTACTTTGAAATATTAATAAACAATATAATGTATTTATTTAATAGTAAAACTAACAATGCTGTATTTTTTTGACAATTCATAATGGTGTATGACATGCACATACACATTTGTGTCTTTGTGGATGTTCTGGATTTCAAAATATGTCTCATGATAAAAACTATTATAGCACTTGTTTCTTTACTCAGCTAAAACTATTGTTTGGCTGTTGTGTTTAGTCTTGATCTTCCGAGTCATAAAAGACCTGAGCAATGTGGCAGTTTTGAAAAGAGGGAGAGGGTTTTTGTGGTGGGTTGACCTCGGTGTGAGTGTGTGTGTAGGAGTGAAGACACGTCCCCTGTGGTTATTTCACAATGATCGCGGTTTCCTGCCCTGAGGGCTGCTGTCTCTCTTTCCCTCAGGGGTCTGGTGCAGTCTTTATCTCTCATAGTTTGTATCTGTCTCCATGATAGCAGCCATGTCTGCGTTCTATTAAATTCCAGAACATCCAGCAGCTCAGGCAACCTATGCAATGAGCATGCAAAAACAACATGTTTAAGTCCCGTTCACACTAAGAACAATAACTATACAGATAAAGATAACTATGTTGTCTTCCAAACCATCGGAATATTTCATTCTGTTTATTTAGACTTCTGTCCAGTTTTGTTGCCTGCCACTTTAAATACTCAAGCTCTTTAAAGCAGGATGGTTTCTGATTGTTCTCCAAAAAAAATAATAATAAAAAAAAAAAAATCTGAAAGTGATTCCAACAATATTTCTCTGGTCTGTTTTAGTTGTGATGTGGACTCTGCTATTCTTTTATATTTAGAACTGTCCGTATCATTATAGTTATTTGTTCCTAATGTGTACTGGCCTAAAAGCAAAGACAGCTAGAAAAATAATGGCTGTCTAGAAAACTTTAGTCATTCAGGGTGGTTGTTAGGGTGTTGCTAGGCAGGTAACAGTGTCTGCTTGTTGTTATGGTGTTCCTTGTCTGTTGCTAGGGTGTTCTGAGTAGATCGTTACTGAGAAAGATAACGCCGTTAGTAATGCCGTTTATTTATAACACCGTTATTCCCATCATTGCTTATTAGACACTTGGACAATATCTGACACTTTAGGAACCCTTTAGCGTCAGTTACATGACGCGACCCTAGGGTATCATCTACCTGACGCTAAAGGTAAAGCCTCAGTTAAATGACGCGGTTAGGTTTAGGTCTGGGGTAGGGGTAGGGTTAGGGTTATGGCCACATTATGCTTCCGTGTCAACTCCACGGCGTAGCTACGTCGTCACTACTACGGCGTCGTGGCCGTTTTATACTTCTGCGTGAGGTTGTGGTGCTTCGCGGTGCATTTCGCCGCCAGAACGCTAGGGGGGTTCGCGAATCTCTTTGGTTCCGTGCACCGCGAGCGAAAGAGAGATAATGTTGATTCAGCTGCCAGCTGGAGCTAATCGACGTTGAATAACAAGACGACACAAAACTTTATCCCCACAGAATCAACACGGATGTCCAGGGCCCGTTTCACCCATAGACAGTAAAATAAAGGTTCCACCCGAGCTGCCATAACGATAGCTGTTCGGAATGACTTGAAGGATTTTTTCAGTCTTCACATGGAACTGTGCTATGGAAGGATAATGTGTCCAGTGGCAGACTTGGTTAGTACTGTATTATCAATGATGAAACCGTGAACATTGTATTGAAAATAAACAACAAACTGCGTTTCAAAACAAACGTTGATTTATTGATTGAAAAGAATATAGACATATATTAACAATGAAATAAAAAAAACAGTTTATTTTTAGTTTAATTCTTTATTTAACGTTACTTTCTTTAAGAGTGTTATAATTAAAAGAACGAGGGTGCAAATGTTAAAAATAGCGCTATAACAGGAGGGGGAAATCGGAAAAGCTACACTCCTGAAATTATGTTTAATCTGACCAATCAAAGCCCTTGCTGTCTGCGTCGCCTCGACGCGTAGTTACAAATTTTTGGCGGTGCACGTCGAGCTACGTCGACGGATAGGTGTCTGCGGGGGTACGCCGTCGATTCGACGCAGAAGCATAAAACAGGCTTTAGACGCGTCATCTATGACGTCACCTTTAGCGTCAGTTAGATGACGTCCTAGGATCGCGTCATGTAACTGACGCTAAAGGGTGCCTAAAGCGTGAGATGTTGAAGCATGGTCAAAATGAGAATGAGAATGGGCTCCCAGTAGATGGGAGCAGATTACCACTCATGCGCTCATTTCCACTTCCTGTTTTTGCTTTTGCCTTTATAAACTGACTTTTATAACAAATTGTATTTGTACGTATGAAGGTATAGGCTATAGCGATTGTAGGAAAAGCCTCATGCTATCAATAAAGAGAATATTTAAAATAGGCTATAGGCATAAATAAATAAACCTAGATCCCAACAGCCTGATCAGGCTAATTATTTGACTAGCCTATTTAAAATTAACTAATTGAATATACAAAAAAAAGAAAAAGAAAAATTAGTTGATTATAAGATTATTAGTTGATTAATATCAATTATAAGATTACTAACGCTAATTATAATAATTAAATAATAGGCTGCATTACAAATCTTGTTTTTCTTGTGTTTGCACCCTATTCAATAGATGCTTGTGATAAGATGTTCTGGATGGATTTGGTGCTTGGTTCTGCAGATATATGGACAGACATTAAGAAATGAATGGAGAAAATCCACATTAATTGTGGTGTATTTAGACAGTAAGAAGAACAGACAGGAAATTTTAGCATTTATTTATTTAACAATTTCATTCCATACATGTGAATTAGGCTTAAAATCGAATTTCGAATCAAATGAATACACCAAGGAACACATTTTAAAAAAAAGAAACCAAATGAGGCGTTTTCATTTCAGCTTGCTACAAGAAGCACAAACCCTTCGTGTTCTGAAGTCACTATCATTTCAAGAGCTAGAGAGGCCGATTCGCGTAGAAACCAGGAAGTCGATCTACCAGTGCACAGTATGCTACACACTACATCTGCTTCATTGGCACGCACAATTGTTTTGCAACGTGAGAGGAACGTGGTGAAATTTAAATAGCGCTTGTCTGCTTATTATTATTATTATTTTTTTATTTAACTACAGAAGTTTCTGGAACAGCATTGTGGTGTCGTCAGTGCAGGTGCTAAATCTAGCAAGGTCATGTGAAAAACTGTGAAAACATTGTTTCCTTCAAACTATTTGATCTTGACCTACATATGTTGTGTCCTTACTATGACAACAGCCCTCTTAGTGTAACACATTACTAGCTAAATTGGTGTGCATCTTTTTCTGGTCTACATTTCATAACAGCAACTGGACGGCTTGTTTAAACAATATACAACTTGTGTGTCATGAATTGGAGATATGTGAAGCAACAAGCATATATACACATGAAAAAAGATAAACAGTATAATTGTAAATGCAGTATGATTAAGCAAATAAAAAATACATTGGTATGAGCTACCTGTATGATATTAGAAAGGAAAAACAAACACTTGATTCATACCTGAGATGCAAAAAAAAAAAAAAAAAAAAAAAAAAAAAAAAAAAAAAAGAAGCAAATTATTAAAATGATGTAATTGGGTGAAAAAACTAACAGTTTTTGATTTACAGTGTTACTGTTGTTTCTCATAAATTTGGGGTTTGTTAAAAGAGCCTATATGCACAAATGCTTTAATTTCAGTGAAATATACTGAACCAAAACTTTTTTTAGTAAATAAAAAAAGAAGGTTGATGAGAGTGAGTGCATTTTACTATTTCTGCATATCACTGTGATCATAAACGCTTTATTTTAGATGGTTCTCTCTTAGGTGAAATGTAGTTATTCTGTCTTTTGAAAGATTAAAAATGAATATGCTTTATCTAATAAAAAAATTGTGGCAACAGATTACAAGTAATATTATTAATTCAATTTAACAAATTAGAATTGAGTAATAATTAATCAAATTAATTCCTTAAAAGTTAACCATTTAAAATTAGTAAAACTTACAACAACAACCAAAAAAAAAAAAAAATAAATTTATGTCACCATTATGGTGATCAGTATTTGTTTTTAGGTTTGTTTTAAAATGACGGTTTTCTCCTTCAGTGATTCTGCTTGTTAACATCAGGTGTCTTCAATGTTGGCAATATAAAATAAAAAGTTCTTAATTAATATTTGACGTCTATCTGTTAGTGAGATATTTTTGTTCAATGTTTGGGTGTAAACTTTACTCATTTTAAATGGTCAACTTTTAAGGAATAATTTGATTATTACTCAATTCTAATTTGTTAAATTTAATTAATAATATTGCTTGTAATCTGTTGCCACAATTCTATTGATTAGATAAAGCATGTTCATTTTTACAGAGTAGTCTGTAGTTTTATAGTCTGTCAGGAGCAGAAACAAACCAGTTGCATTTTATGTGAACATATGGAACCTTTTTTCCCTGATCATAATGTTCAGAGACGTAACAGTTGTGCATGAATTGTTGTCACTTGCAGACTTCTTGCTGTTCCAAAACCTAGTGAGCATTCTAACTGTAATGGAACCTCATAAGTGAACAATTTAGAACACTTAACATTGGCAGCAATTCAGTTGATTTTAACATATAGTTAGCGTGCTGCTAAGCTTATGACATGATACTCTAATGAGCATTAAACTTTCTAGAGCAAACCAATCTTTAATAAAATAACAATTTTATAATTAATTTGAATACTTTTCACCAATAAACACAATATTACGTTTATTTTGCATTGCGAGCATGTTAACTACTTAAGATTTTGGAACAGAACAGCCTGTGTTTTAATAGTCCTTCCACACCAACAACAGTAAATAAACTATGACTAAAATGGCAAATTGTCACAGATATACTGAATAAATCCCAGGTGTAATCCAAAAGTTTTAGGCCATCGTTTTAGCTATGAACCATTCCACTGCGATCACTAGCTGAACAAAAAAAACCCATCAAACTCGAAATGCATTCTGATGCATTAAAATGTGAATATGAGCTGACAATGCAACATGCAAAATGTACAAAGGCAAGTTTGAAGGAAAAGAAACAAGTCTTTAATGAGACAAGAACCCGCAAGAGAAGAGCTGAAGCGACAAAACAACATGAAGCTCCCACTACAAACACAAAGGCAATTATGGTGATAAAAGAAGCTGATTTATTCTTAGAAAGGTTGAGTATGTTCTGTAACGGGTCAAAATCTGAGCAAGTGAATATATTTTCTTGACAATAGCATGTGATTTACTGACCACAAAGGCAGCATTAGGTCGATCAGACAGACAAGTACCAAACATTGTTAGCGGTTACTTTGCCAGACACTGAGCCAATCCACAGAGACAGAAAGTAGCAAGAGAAGAGAAATAAATGAAAGGTAATCGTGTCGGCACGTTTCATTTCATAAGGCTTAAATTGATTCTGTGTGCACTGATAAACGGTTTGGCCTTAAGTCGTATGCAACGCTTAACGTTGGCTCTGTCAAAGGATACCATATTCCTAGCCATTAATATATTCACACATATTAGGGATACATGTGACATTACAATTACGTTTGAGTTACATACTGTACGTGTATATGGAAGTGATATGTGTCATTGTGGTGCATTAGGACTAAAATGAAAAGATGTTTTCGAGATATTACCATCAGACATGTAAAGCTTGACCATCAATTGGTTTTTTAAGCTTCACTGATATCTTTTCAATGTGAGAACGGAGACAGACTGCGAAAGCAATGCCGAGTATGAACAATAATCGTCATCATTTACAGGAAACAAACATCAGGTAAAAGTGTTTTCATTCGACAAATACATAGCTTTGCCATTTTAACAAGTATCCCACTGCTGTCATACAATTGCCGTCATACTCATTGAGTGGTTTTCAATTAAGCAAAATTAAATAATTTACAGTCAAAAAAAAAAAAAAAAATTAGCTTTCAAAAATGTTTCCCCAAAACGTGATACTTATACAGTATATACATGCCTTGAGCTATAGCAAAGGTTGTGAAGTTGTGAATAATCTTTTAATAACAAATAAGATGAAAAAAGAGTTTTTTTCCCCACCAATATTTAGATCAGCTAATATACAAACTTGATGGAATTAGGGATCCCAAAGTCTAACAACAATTTTCACTAGTTACCACATTTAGCAGATATATTATACAGCCTTAGCAAGGTTGTCTATTCATCATAGAAATCAACAAAAGAACGGAAAAAAAAATACTGTTGTTTCAAAAACACTTCCAACCATCAACATAATCCATGACTTTAGTGTACTGATGTCCAGTCTGGGTAATGAAAATCAAATTTTATGTCATGATTGTTGCATTAGACCTCACTCAATAGTTTTTTTGTGCTTATTAATTTGTTCGGCCTAAACCTCACGCTATGGAATGAGCAGGTGAAAGTTGCATATCAGCAACATATCAGCATTGTTATAACATTTGTAATGTTTTTTGGGGATCTGTATAGGCCTATTGATCTGACCAATGACATGAAGGTTTAAGAGCACTGAAATAGTTGCGCACTACTTATTTTTGTTCCTTTTAAAGTATCACTTTTTGTTTTGTGAGATATCTTGTGTTCAGCAAAATGGTTGTGTAAACAGCTGAAGGATGGCGTACGGATGTTTCCCGCCTGGACCGTGGATCTGTTGTTATGGGCCGATCAGTGTAAGAATAAGCGGTTGTCATAAGAACCAAGCAGTGGAGATGCATCATCATACTACACAAACACACACGACTGGGCTTCTTCTTTCTTTCTTTGCCTGGTTGCTATATCACTAACCCGCTATGGTTTATCTGGTAACCAGAGCTGGTTAACCTAACTGCTTATCCTAATTTTTAAAAACACAAGGTGATTTTCAGGTGGAACACACTGAGATCTTCTGTGGAGCTATTCATTTACGTACCAATATCTACAGTTCAAGTACAAAATACTGATTTTAGTCATAGTGTGAGCTGTCAGTTTCACATCATGTAATGGTCTTTTGGAGAATGGAGCGTCTCTACGTACCGATAACATTATTAACACCTAAAAATCTGTAGAATAAAAAGGGAACCTCCCTCACTTCAAGTCTGAGTATATTTTTTTACTACTGTACATCTTTTTTTTTTTTTGGGAGAAACAGCATAACAAATGGATTCAGCATGAATCACAACCGAAACAAAAGTAGAAATGAATTAAAACAGAAACAGACCACAAAACATTTTTAAAAATCATAACGCTGAAGATAAAAGCAAGCAACCAATCAGAGGCCTGACAAACAAAGGCATTGACTGAAATTCAGCGAACATTTGTATATTTAGGCACTGTGAGAAGATGGAGGGCGAGTCCTTACTGAAAGATGGCTGCAGACAATTTTCTTTTTTCATATTTGGAGATTTAGACATTTTTGGACTACTTTGGGCGTGTTTTACAGCTATGTAATGATTACAAAAGGTGACATCTTCAGCAAATAAGTTGCTCGTAAAAAAGTAGCAGGTGAGCTGTTATTGAAAAAGGCAAAAGAAAACCAAAATGAAATGAAAAAATAACCCAAAACAAAACAACAAATGTGAGAAGAAGCTTCCACTGCTGTCTGAAGAAGTTCCTGTGCAGGGAAGGAGGGAAGGAATGAGAGGAGAGAGAGGAGCGCAGTGCCATTTGCAGTCTAAATGAAATACTCTTTCTTTTCTTCTGCGTGTGCGTGGTTGCCGTCGGCATTGATGATGGCTGTGTCTGCGTCCGGGGCATCATCTGCTCCTTTGGCCTCGTTTGTCAAATACGTGCCTGAAACACACAAGCAATTTCTTGATTTAAAAAACAATGTGATTTTCAAAAACTTCTAAATGGAAACTTCAATGTTTATGTAGGAAAAATAGGTTACACTTTATTTGAAGGTGTCCCTGTTAACGTGTAATTATATATTTATGTGAGTAATAATAATTAGCTATTGTATGTGTACTTACTATAGGGCTGGACTATTTGCCTGTAATTCTGCATAATTTATTTTTATTACTACATTAGCTACATGTACCAAGGACTGTAAAATAAAGTGTCAGAAAAAATTCTGTTACTATTATAATAAGTGATCTTTCAAGTAACTTGAACCTCACAAGATACTTGTGACAATGCTATTAGTTTTGATGTACTACTGGTAAAAAGTCAGTTAAGATATTATTGTGAAATATATTTAAAAAAAGAATATTGAAAACAATAAGCTAAAGTAAAAAATTTAAAAAATAATAAGCTGAATTTTTAGAGGACATTCCTTCAGTGTAGGGTATATATATTAATGAAAACGCATGTACGGGGCATCCGGAAAGTATTCACAGCACTTTACTTTTTCCACATTTTGTTATGTTACATCCTTATTCCAAAATTGATTAAATTCTTTATTCTCCTCGCAATTCTACAAACAATACCCCATAATAACAACGTGAAAGAAGTCTGTTTGAGATCTTTGCAAATTTATAAAAAAACAAAACAAAAATAACACATGTACATGTATTCACAGCCTTTGCTGTGTGACCTCTGAGACAGGACTGTATCGAGGCACAGATCTGGGGAAGGGTACAGAAATATTTCTGTAGCATTAAAGGTCCCAATAACCAGAGTGGCCTCCATCATTCGTAAATGGAAGAAGTTTGGAACCACTAGGACTCTTCTTAAAGCTGGCCGTCCGGCCAAACTGAGCAATAATGGGAGAAGAGCCTCGTGGAGGTGACCAAGAATTTCATTATGCATTTCCTTTATTTTAAATGATTGAAATTATTCAAATGACTAAAATGTTGATTTGCAGGTTTTGGATCTCAGAAATTTGAAGCCCACTGTAGATGATGCATTTTTGATTTTACAGACAGTAAAGGAAAAAATCATACCTTTATGCCGTGCCAGGTAGCGTCCCAAAACAATAATTAAGCACAAAGTTGCGAAAACGACAACAGCGACTACTCCTCCGATTAGAGCGTGATCTGGCACGTTTTTCTGGGCATTAGGATCTGTAAGAGAGAGAGAGAGAGAGATTGAGAAAATATTGTTGGTAACCTTTCTGATTTATTCATACTTTTATCTTTCAAAATATCAGAAGGTTGACAACAGATAGTTTGGACTAAAGCTTCAGCCCTCTCCTGTCTGCTCAAGGAGTTTAAAGTCTCTGAACCGACAGATCGAGCCATATGGGGGTTGGACAGGGTTTTATGCATGCACAGAATGAAAGTAAAGAGGAAGACATGAGCCATAACAAACACACAGTGTTTTCCAGTCTGTCATGAGCTGCTCGTAACTAACAAAAATACACTACATGGTCAAAAGTCCTTTCAACGGGGTCACTGATGCTCCAGGAGCAAATCTCCCAGTGGAACGTCTTCCCAGAAGTGATGAGTCGTTCCTTAGAACATTTTAATAATATAAAGAACCTTTTTTCCACGACAATAGAACTTTTCCATGGATGTTAAAGGTTAAAAATCACCAATGATAAAAAGAACCTTCTTTTTTAAGGGTGTAGTGTAAATTGTGGTGTAGTGTAGTTGTAGAAGACAATACCTGCTGTTCAAATTGTGGGCGACTTCATTTCATCTCGACCAGAAAACTCAAACCTCGAGCGTATTGTTAATTTAAAAGATGGGCCCGTGACCTTTCTCTCTGTGAGCTGTGGTTCTTTATTATTTCCCCGCTTAGTGCCATTTTGGAGTGGTATATTATAATTGACAGCATGCGTTGCATCTGCCTCAGCGTGTGCGTTTAATCCGGGCTGTGCTTTGTGCTGCGGGATCTTCCTAATCACCGCCTGCAATTACTGTATCAGCCGCACAAAGCCGGGATAAACTCAGGGCCAGGGAGCCATTCAAACACTACATTTCAGTAATGGAGAATCCCACCTCGGATCGACATCGGCTGGGCGCGTCGACTCCATCCCTCTGATTGACATCTCACTGTCTCTCTCTTTCTCTCTTTCCCTCTCTCTCTCTCTCTCTCTCAATAATAGCATTTCTTCTCTTTGTTGTGTTTACAAGAGGAGTATAAAACCTACAAAAAACTGCATCTGACTTTGCCGTGACAATCAATCACAATAAAAACACAAAATATGTGCAGATCTCTATCAACCTTTTAGCGGCTCGCTGAAATATGAAATGTGGAGCGGCTACTCGTATCTGACAGCACATGTTTCTGAATTTCCAACAGTGAAAGGCTGTGGTATTAAACTCTCTCAATTTTTATGACATCAATAAATCAAACTTAAGTCCCAAAAAGTATTTCACCACAGGTGCGTGTGACTTCAGCATTCGACTATCAAATGGACTCACATGGACTAACACCTGTCTTAGGAGAAAAGTAACAAAACAAAATGCTTGGTATTGCCATTCTAAATCTCTGTTCTGGTGTGTGTTCAGACACTTTTGTCCCTGAACATTAGACTGTGAATCTCAAGTACATCTCTTGGTGTTGTGATAATTAGCCCTTCTCTGTCCTCGCTCTATTTTTGTCAATGCGCAGCGCAGGGGGGTTGCCATGCTGAGTGCTGTCCTAGGGCGAGTCCATTGACACTGCGAGAGGCTTGGTAATCTCCAACTAGCTATTACATCAGGGTTTCATTAGTTAACATTAATTAACTACATTAGTTAACTAATAATGACCTGCACGCATTTATTAATCTTTGTTATGTTAATTTCATAATTTACTAATACAATTAAAAAAACTAAAGTAGCATTTGTTAATGCACAGTGAAGTAACATGGGAGAATGATCATATTTTCTCTATCCAAGATATCCATGTCATTCTTTCTTCAGTCGAAAACAAATTAAGGTTTTTGATGAAAACATTCCGGGATTTTTCTTCATATAATGCCAAATAACCAAATGGTTCAAGGTCCAAAAGACAGTTTCAGTGCAAACTACAAACTTTTCAAAGGGCTTTAATGAACCAAATGACACGAAAAAAGATTTGTTTATTTTTTGATTATGATTTGTGTCATTTGGTTCATTTAACGAACGAAATTAACTAATTGACTCGGAAAAAGATTCGTTCATTTTGATGAACGAGTTCGAACAGGAGAGTCATGTACGCGCATCACAGAACAGAGCAAGGTGAACATTTGTGCTTATAAAACTTAAACGTATTTTTTTTTTAAATGAGCGATCGTTTCGCTATATAAGACCTTAATCATTGTCTGGAATCATTTAAAGCCCTTTGAACAGTTTGCACTGAAACTGTGTTTTGGATCTTGAACAAGTGCATTATATGGAGAAAAATCCTGGAATGTTTTCATCAAAAACCTTAATTTCTTTTCGACTGAAGAAAGAATGACATGGACATCTTGGATGACATGGGGGTGAGTAAATTATTAGCAAAAGTTTTTTTTAAAAGTGAACTACTCCTTTAACTAATGTTAACAAATATAGTAACAATATGTATTGCTTATGTTTGTGTATTGCACATGTCAGTTCATGTTAGTTAATACATTTAAACCTTATTGTAAAGGTTTACCCTAACTAAGGATAATTTCTACAGTTAGAGAGTTACATAGTTCATCTCATTAGTCAATACATTTTTAACAATTTTTAACAACTTTTTTTCTTTTAAAAATTCATTTTACCGGGTGTATATACTGTACACTTGTAATAAATCATATTTATGATAAAGTGAAGGAATAATTTTGTTTTACTTCCTTCAGTTCATGCTTTATGTTCCCCTTTACTAATACTGTATAACCCTGCTCTTCTTTTTATGTCAGTTTTTCATTTTCTTTCCTTATGCACACAAACTTAACTCATCAGAGTGTTTGTCCATAAACATGCACAACATAGAGCTTAAAGTAGCAAGATCCACCAGCAGAAAAGTGATGTTTCCTCTCCCCTAGCACACATTATCTTTTAATAAGGCCTGCGAGAGTCCTTCCCTTATGATTTAATATTGAAGCACTGCACACACATTCCTATTTTAATATTCACAATTCCTTTGCCTGGCCCCTGCATTTTGTGGCTCAGGCAAATGTAACAAATTAACGGCAGTGAAAACACAACACTCTGATGGTGTAGTAGGATATAAACTCACAAGCAGCACATCTGAGAAGAGGCTTTCAATCCGGCTGTGGCTAAACAACAGTGAGAAAGGCAACGGCACCCGGTGCGTGAACCCCTGCGGTCACATGAATTCTTAAAGAAAACCGTTTCAGAGGAAAAACATGCAGGAAGCACTCTTTTAACAAACCCACGTGGTAGGGGGTTATGAAGAGGCCTCGGGGTGGGGGCAGGAGCAGCAGGGGCGGTCATGTTGCGCTCCTGTCGGGATGACATTTCAAGGTGAGCGTTACCATTAACTCCACATGCTAATTCAGGAGACCGGCAATGCTGTCTAGGAGATTATTGCTACGGTAATCTTGATATTTGAATAAATGCCTTAAAGGGCCATGGTGAGGGTGGGCTGGGTGTAAAATTGATGTAGGAAAGCGAACGTCAACGCTTCGGTGATCTTCTATACATCGGTGGGCTATTGAAGGACAGCGACAGAGAAAGTGCTGAACTGGAAAGCTTCACCTTCATGGTACAATCGAACACTGGAAATGAACATTTACAGGACCATTTGCTGATGTGCTTCCGAATCGAAAGGTGCAGAAAAGATGGTTGGCCTACCGAAAGAATTGTAACATATCAAAACACCGCCCTCATTCAAAGCACGAGTCTATGCGCAAAGCAAATTGAATGGAAACCTCCCAATAAATCACCTAATATGAAAATTCAGCACAAGCTATTTAATGGCATTTATGATTTGATTGCTGTATGCATGATTTGCTCTGACTCTTGGATTCAAATGTTCCACCACAATCAACCAGAAGCAAACCAAATTACGCAGAAATTGTAAAATGCAGTGGAATGGAAAGATGGCGTTATTAACCAAATTATGAGTTTAAGTGTGAGCTCATTAGACTTGATTAGAAACTCGGTTGGATATTAAGCTGTTTACAATGAGATACATCAACATTACTCCTCAGTGTCGGAGAACATCTGCAAACTTCCACATTTAAATAGATTATATAAAAATTTAAGGATTAGAAAATGGTTTACTTATTTTTCTTAAACATTTTTATACATTATATATTGAAAGGTGGTATACTACATTTTTGCTGCATACTTTGTCCTATATTTAATTTAAAGGTGCTGTATAATAAAGCATAAACATACAATAATATGTTTTCATTTATTTAGGTAAAAATGCTACAAAACAATGCTACAGCCAGTTATGCTACTGTGAAATGTGCATTCCTTGTCATAATGTTTGTATTTGGTCTGTGTGATTCTGCCCACTGCCAATTTACCCAACAGTATTTCGACACCCCGGGTAGCCAGTTGGCGGAAGAGTGATTGGCAGGGAAGCCAGCAAACCAACTAGGTCAGATATCGTAGATTCTACCCAACTAAAAAGCCTTGCCATCCATCCAAAAAGCTCAATCACCAGAGGAATATTAAAACACGGATAAATCAACTCATGATGCAAGTCTCCTATGCTTTTATGGTCAATTGCACTTGCTCCTTTTGCATGTTCTCAATCTTGCAACCCAGGTGAGCATTGCGTCTGAGGAGGAGGAGGCAGGTGAAACAATATTTTGTTTTCTCTCCAACATTTTGAATTTGAACTGCAGTATCCATTTCAACCACTAGCTGTCAATATTACATACTGCACCTTTAATATGCAAGTGACGACTATAAGACATTTATTAGTACATTGACTCCACCCGTGGTGAGGTTATCTGTTTAAACAACCAAAGGCAAACAGAGGCGGGAAAGTAACAGATCACTTTTGCAATACCATTTGGTGATGCCACTGTTTAAAAATGGCATATAAAATAAACGTAAATAATCATTTAAGTTTGGAGGTTTGGACATGTTCTATCAAAAACAGAGGCTCAATGTTGACATATCTCACTGTAAACGTACTGTACTCTATATGACAATTTGGATTTTTAAAGCATTTTTATCCACTTGAATGCCATTGAGATGAATGG